CTATTCTACAACTTTTATTTAATTTTTAAAAACACATTAATTAATAAAATCTTTTTTTATTTTCTAAAGAAAAAAAATTTACCACTAAGATCATATGAAAAATGATCGACATGCCCCCTACCCTTAAACATATATACTACTCAAAGTATAGTAAATATATATTTGTTATAATTTGGACCGACTTTGTTTTTTATAATTCATCTGTCTGAATAATTCAACAAATATTCTTTTGATGTAATCTTTTTTTAATTCTTCGCTCTCCGTCGATCCAATTAAATTTACTAATTTTTTGATTGTTCCGATTGCAGTTGGTGGATTTAAAAGTTGGTTTGTATATTGATTAATTTTGTTATTCAGTTCTTCGTGATCTTTCACAACGCATGTAATGAATTTATCTAAAACTCCCTGTTCTGCTGATATCTTTTCTCCAGTCAGCATGTATTGTTTTGCTTTGAATAAACCAATCTCTGGCACAACATATTGTGAAATTATAGCTGGTGCAGTGCCTATTTTTACTTCTGGAAATGAAAAATATGTTCCCTTTAATGCTATTCTAATATCTGTTGTAAACACTAAGCCGAGACCACCTCCTAAGGCTGGTCCATTTATCTTGGCGATTACGGGTTTGTAACAATTTTTAATAGTTTTATAAAAGAGATAACCTGCTTCAAAAATATTTGAAAGTTCTTCGGGTATTGTACTTGAAGTTTGTAAATCAAACCCCGTACAAAAAAACTTTCCTGCTCCAGTTATTACAATAACACGTACTGAAGGATCGTTTTCAAGTTTGGTAAAGAGGTTAAGGAATTCTGTTACCATTTCAGAGTTAAGGGCATTACCACGTTCTGGTCTGTTTAAAGTTATAGTTGCAACTTGATTTGACACTTCCACAAGTACTTGATTCATTTGGATCAGAATATAAAGTTTCGTATAATGATGATGGTAGCTGATAATGAACCAAAATTATCTTAACGTGATCACAGAATACTCATCTATAAAACTATAAAACAACTGATATAATTGGATATACCAAAGTCACGAGACATTAACCGTGTATATACAGTATACAAAAATTTTTTTTAAACAGCAATAACAAAAAAAAAAAAGGTTATCTTATGGCGGAAAACGTTAGTACACCACCTCCTATACTGACCCTCGAAAATTATGAAAATTTTCGAAAAAATGCATATAAAACGATAGAAACTTATGCCGGGAAGCAAAAATCTACTCTTCCACCTGGGGAAGTCGCTTTTTGTCGGACTGTTGATCCCGCGTCTGCTCTCGCGCTGGAAAGACTATCTGCCAAAATGAAAAATAAGCTAAATCGTTTGTTGGTAAATGCTGATATACCTGGTACTGAAATGCTCGGTAGAGTTAATGATGCAAAGGATTTTGATATTTGGTTTAAAGATTTGGTTACTATGAATGATTCATTGATTGACGGTGTGGTACGTACAAACTCTAAGTAATCAACCCCTAGATAATGTTCTCAAGTATTTTATATTTTGTAGAACGCATCCTTGGATGAATTAACCGGTCGTAACCAAAAATTCGCGAGTTCTACAGCAGACACACCAAAATCAATGGTAGCACAATTTAGAGCAAGAGTATGTTTTTTATTCTTAACTTTTAAAAGAAATATGTTGTTTTTTTTTGATTTATTTATATTAACCTCGATCGTCTATCAGTCGGGGGATATCAACGTTGTATATTCTCGTAATATTACTCGACCACAAGCAAAATTCAAGGATAAAATTGACAACTCTGGTGTTCCTTTTATCCCTAAACTTCCAAATAAACCGAATGCAATTGTACCATTAAAACTGGACGGTATCGAAGAAGGTTCTGTGTAGGTCTTGATCTTTAGATATTATCTATTCTTTATTGTTTACTATTCATATAATAATATACCGTATTTTTTTTTCAGATATCCCCATCCGTACCGATACGAAATAACTCATCTTACATACCCTTCATTCATTTTTGGAGAGAAGGAGCCAATACAATATCAGCCTCTTGATACTACCCCACTCATTTGGGTCGATACATTAGAAGGGCTAACTACTATGTGTCAGAAATTAGAATCTTCTCAGGAGATTGCTGTTGATCTTGAGGTTTATATATATATATATATATATATATTACCATTGTTTAATGTTTCATTTTCCTGTTATTTTTAATATTTATAGTAGTACTAATTATGTTATGCCAATTGTATGTCGACTATTACGTACGCTTATTATGTCAATTTATTACGTCGACTGACTACTAGCATCACGATTATCGATCATACCAAGGGTTTACTTGTCTAATACAGATCAGTACGCGAGATGAGGATTTCATTGTAGATGCTTTGGAATTGAGGCATCATTTGCATATGTTAAATAATTCCTTCACCAACCCAAATATCCTAAAGGTAAAATTCTCTTAAAAATATATATATGCAGTGAGGCTTCATGCAGTCACACTCATTTATAATTACACCTCCCATAAGTGCGCTTTTTTTTTTAATGGTCCCAGATATATTAAAATTTAAGAAATTTGACCTCTTTAGAAGCTGACCTGAAGGGCGTGATTGTAGGGTGGTCTTACTGTATATATATATATATATATATATATATATATCGATTTTTTTCTTTTATTAAAAGATTTTTAAATCTTTTATTTTATTAATACGTGATTGATTTATTGTTGAATAGGTCTTTCATGGTGCCGATCACGATATTACTTGGTTACAAAAAGATTTCGGTGTTTATGTGGTCAACTTATTTGACACTAATCAGGCATCTCACCTTCTGGGTAATTAATTGTTCACTTTATATTTTTTATAACCTTTAGTGTATGTCTTAATTAATTGACAACAAAAATAGAAATGCGTTTTCATTCTCTGGCATATTTGTTAAAACATTATTGTCATGTGGACGCTGACAAGAAATTTCAGTTGGCAGATTGGAGGTTAAGGTATCCGTTCGATCCAATATTGCTCCCTTATTAATTTTTTTATTTACTTAATTTGTAGTTTATTATTATTTAATTTTATTTGATCTATTTAGGCCTCTTACGGAAGAAATGATAAATTACGCTCGTTGCGATACGCATTATTTATTATACATATATGATAGGATGCGTAATGAATTGATTCAAAATTCTGTCACTATGACTTACAATTTATTAAAAGTTACGCTTGATCGTTCTGCTCAGATTTCACTTCAATGCTATGAGACTTTTCGTTATGATCCTAATGGTGAAGACCCGAATGGTTATCAGAAGTTATTAGCCAAATGGAATTTTCCATTAAATAGACAACAGGTTGGTCTTATTATCTTTGATTTAAGTTTAGTTTTTGTTCATGCAAATAACGCTAAGGAAATTGTAGCTTGCAGTGTTTAAAGCTCTTCATGCATGGAGAGATAATAAGGCCAGGGAAGAAGACGAGAGTTTAGCGTGTGTAATTTATCATTAAATTTTTGAAGTATTATTATATTAGTAAATAACTTCAATCCTAATATCTCTTAATATTCATTATGTTAGTTATGTGCTCCCAAATGATACACTTTTTACCCTTTCCGAAAAAATGCCAGAAGATTCCAAAGATATAACTTCCTTATGTAGAAATATAGTTCCTCCGCTCGTTCGAGAAAATACTCTAGAGCTGGTTAGCTTGATTACTGATGCCAAAAATAGCGTCTTAAATTCAACGAGTATCTTTGACAACCAACTTGTGAAAACTGAACGTGAGATAAGAACTGTGGCATCAAATAGTGAGCCCATTCTCAATTGTAAGCCTATATTATATAAATTTATTATTGTATATATTTAATATATATTTGTTCAAAAATCAAATACTTATTGTTATATCTCTCAAGCTAAAAATGTAAAATGGGTTTTGGATACATCTCATCCTAAATACAAAGCTGATGACTATATAGAGAAAAAGTCGGTTTTATTTGGTGATTTTTGTATTGAGGTTCGTGATTTTTTATCAATAGTAATCATTTAATGGTTTCTTTAAAGAATACTGATGTAAGCCAGAATCTTTAACAGAATGGAGTAAACGAAACAACAAAAAAGAAGGTTTCAGAAATTCTCTCAAATCTTACATTTGCACTTCCTATACTTCCTAAATCCATTTCATACCACTCAAATCGAACCGGTCCACAACCTAAACCAGTGGATGAAAATTCTCAGCCAATTACATTACCTGTGGAACACGTCTATGTTCCACCTGAAGCAAGAAGTACGAAATCAAAAGGAAAAGAACGGGAGGTAGTTATTATATCGCAATCAATATCAAAAAAACGCCAGAGGCTGGAGGACGATGATCCTATTGAAGATGAAAAAAGGGTGAGTTATCATTAGTATATTTATAAGTGATGCAACCATTCTTCTTTATTGAATAGACTTTTTTTTTTTTTATACTACAGCTAAGACGATACGATCCATATTCGTCAACTGCAACATCTTCAGGAAATCGAAGTGCAACTACTTCAGGGTATGTTGATGAGTGCGATGATGATGAAGTTAACGACGACAAAGATAAAAAATGTTCGATTATGTAAGTGGTGATCCTGGCCAATAATAAAAAATCGGCTCAGGCTGATTTTTACTTAGCCAGTCTTCAAAATCGGTTGATGATTTCTCATAACGATAATAATTCACGCATAAGCCTTGATGATTCCAAAAAAATTGGTTTGTATATATTGCAATAGCAAATATTAAGTTATCATAATAAACGTGATAAACTTTAAAAAAAAATTTTGTTCTCTAAAGTTAGCAAATAAGTTTAGAAATTTATCATATGATCAATTTCTAATTTTTCGAATGTAACTAATAGTCGTGAATTGTATGAAGTTACCCCAGTATCGCAAAGTACTCAAATTTCTTGATTCTGATATCGCAGCTCATACATTGGTCATTTACTATTCTTAAAAAGTTTGTTCTACTTTATTATGTTTTTAACATATATGCCATGTATAGTCAGACCTCTAACTGCATAGCCGTGGGGCGGTCAAAAAATCTTGCATTTAGAGGTATTGCATTTAGGGAGGTGTCATATGAGTTGGGCTATGCATTTGGACTATGAGGAAATATGCATTTAAGGAGGTCTGACTGTTATATACTTTATTATATATACGTATTTTTAAAAAAATAATTGTAAAAATAATTTTATTATTACGTAAAATATTTGTTTTATTAATTAAGCTATACAAAAATTAAATTCTTGGTTTTCATAACATGAAACTTCTAAATGGACCCTGCTGGTCGGCTTTTTTATAGCTGTTTTCATAAATTCTGGAACACTTGATAAAAATTAGTCGAATAGTTCTTCGGCCGATTCTATAATTTCCGGTGATTCATGTAAATATTACAAAACTTTAGTATGTGTAGTACGTACTATATCTCTGGTTGAATGCAGAAATATGGTACTTTCAAAGCATCTATACAGTAATTGACTTAGTTCGAAAAATTGTCAAAACTTAAATGTTAGTATCAAAGATACAGATATACTGAAAAGCTTTCGTCACTTTTAGGAAAACCACGTTTACTAAACCTGAATTAAAACTTCAATATCTTGTATTTGTATTATTCTTTGTGCCAATTTATGTAATATGTTTATAATTTATATCCAGAGCTTTTTATCTTTCTTGCTAAGTTTATTGGATGACAAAAACTGCCATTTTTGTACAAACTAAACATTGAATAAGATTCAGACGAAAGAAAAAGTGTTACATATGATACAAAAGCAGCTTTTATGTACCGATTATGTCGAAATTACAAACTTAATCGAATCGGTTAATTTTTACCAGGTGTTCCAGAATTTATAAAAACAACTGTAATTTCATATATAAAATTTCTATGAAATTTATATAAGAAAGTTTCCTAAAATTTTATCTGATTGGGTTATGAAACTAATTAATTAATTTTGCAAGACCTTACGTATTAAAATTTAATTACAATATTTAAAAATAAATAAGATTTATATTTTTTAAATATCTTATATTTGTTTAAATTAATTTATTTTAAAGTGTTGCTAATTTGACCTTCTGATTATATAACCACCCTCTTATTATGTTTTCACCTATAAAAAAAATCTTTACTTCTTAGTTTTTATAGACAAATTACTAAAAGTGCAATAATAAAAGTTGTCATCCTTTGTATAAACTATTATATTAGAAGCTATATTTTTAAATATTTAAAGAGTTTACCAAGAAATTGTAAATTATTTTTTTAGTTAAAAAATTTCTTTAAAATTTTAGCTTATTAATTTTTGTTTTATTATATAATATAAATACAAATATTGCAAAAATATAATTATTTTTAAATATTATTAAATTTTATTTAAATATTTTAAATAATTAAAAAAATAAATATTTATAGTAATTATACTGTATATACAGGCAAATTTGTCTGCAAATCTCTACTAATTAAAGAGGACATCTAAAGTGTAGGCAAATTATATAATTAATATCCAATCAAATTATAAGCAAAAAACAAAAACCTAAAAAATGAGGTGTGGTGACTTAGTGTAGTGGTCTAGTTGTCACCCTCTTCAAGTGGCAAGTCTAGAGTTCGAATCCCATGGACGATGATATTTGAAAAATAGGCTTGTGTTCGGTTAACGGCTAATGCATATCGGTTGGATCTAATCTGTAACTTCGGTCACATCATCTAGTAATGGGAGCAATGGCGCAATAAATCTGAGGAACCGGCATAACTAAAAACCCATTTGGGAAGTCCTGAGTTAGGAAGTAACAGTGATTTTTGATGGTATCACAAGAGGGCTGAATTCGAACTGGGGCCCGATATTGGAAAACCAAATGACCAGGTCCTAATGGTGGAGAACACACCAGCTGAACCGTTGGGTTCTGTCATATTGGAGAAAAAGAACATATGCTTCGAAAGAATATACCAAGGGGAGGGTGTTCTTCAGGTACCTAAAGCCTGAGCAGACCGACCTTTCCGAGTTGCTAGCTGGAAGTAAGAGAGGGACCGATAAAGAATCCAGATAAGAAAATGGTTTAATTGTGGGTACTAGGGTTGTTGTGAACCTAATAAGGGCAGAAGTAGATAATATGTAGCTAATTAAAAAAGTTGTAACTTGAGATACAGATCAGGTTACAGCGGCCTGGGAACTATAATACCGCGAGGGGAAAGACCAAGAATATATAGAAATATATATACTAGATTTGCTATAATTCGATGAAGTCAGTACAGTTGGTACTAGTTAATTGCAGGGGTTTAATGGTTACCCTGACTCCAAGTGCATGGGTCAAGCTATGACGTAAAGTTACTGAAGTCTGGGTAAATATATGGGTGAGACATGTACCCTAGCAATAGAGTAGCTGAAGTCTGAGGTTATACGATATCTTTAAATATAGACACCGTGTATAAGGTATTGTAGCTAATAATCAGTGAGATAACTAGGTTGGGTGTCTTGTAGGGAAAGCCAGCCTAAAGTCTAATATAAACCATCAGGTAGCTTTGGAAAGTGGGCATTGACAAAGCCTGCCAATCTTTAGTATGTATTACCAATAAAAAATAAATAAATAAATAAATTATAGTAATTTTCTAAAACTAATAGTATAATAACAATTATATGTATACATTATTGGGCAAAAATTTGTAAATAATAGCAATTTGGCTTAACCGGACAAATGATATTGGCTGTCAAGTGCTGCAAAGTGGCACTTGTCAGCCAATCATTTGTCTAGTTGAGCAAAATTGCCGTTATTCACAAATTTGTCCAATAATGGTATTATCCAATAATTTATGATCATGATTAGTAGGGAGTCACTCACTGAGTTTGTTTTTTTTTAAACATAATTACATCATAACACATGAAAAAAATAACAAAAAGAAAGTTTTTCATGATCATAAGAGTTTGTCAGACAAAATTATTTATAGTTTGCTTTCTTAGAGTTTTGTAATATTATCAAAATAGTAAATTTTGTAATAAAATTTTTTTACAGTAACTTATAACAAAAATTATAATAATTTTAGTACAAAATTTAATTCAAACTTAATTGTATATATAGGCTAATTTACAGAATTGGCCAATAACTTTTGATCACTAGTTTGTTTTAGATAATCTAATTAACAAAATATTTATCTTAGTAGAAGGATTCTAACAAGTCTAAAATTGTTAAAATCTAATCACAAAATTCTAAAATTATTTGAATTTTATAGTAAATTTAAAATTTTTAAATAAATATTTTAATTTTAAATAATTTTTGGTCTACTAGTCTATTTTAGATAATTTAACTACCAAAATATTCATCTTAACAAGATAATCACAACAAGCCCAAAATCATTAAAATACAATTACAGAATCCTTAAATAGTTAAGAATTTATATTATTAGCCAATTATATACAGGATTGGGTTTATATATAATTTATATATAGGGTGTAGTGATTTAGTAAAGTGGTAGAGTTGCCACCTCTCAAGCGGCAGGTCTAGAGTTCAAATCCCAGAGATGATGATATTGAAAAATAGACCTGTATTTGGTATGATTATCTGCTGATCAGTTGTTTGGTACACCATCTAGAATGGGAGCTTTGGCGTATGAAATCCAGATAATCAGGATGATCAATACCCAGTTGGAAGCCCTGAGTATGGAGATAGCCGAAACCTTTAATAGTACTACAGAAAAGACTGAATTTGAAAGTTAGGACTGAGACCAATGAACTAAATGACAAAAGATTCTTAAATAGGAGATTTACTAACTAAACCACCAATTTGAAAAAACCAAAAATTGATAAACGTATATAGTATATATCAACTAGGTTGCTGGCTTGGAAAACTGGTAGCAGGGGCCTACTCTAGCAGATCTGCAGATTAGAAGACACAGGTTATAAGACACGGGCCAAAAAAATAGGCTAGATATACCAAAAAACTGAAAACTCCTGAGTTGGAGAAAAAATATATACTATAGAAATATAGACCAAGATGAAATGGGCCAAAGTTGAACCTTCCGAGTTGTCAGTTGAAAGTAAGAGATGGACCAGTTAGGGAATAATAGAAAAAAAAAGTTTGAATGTATATATCAAGTGGAAAGTGAACTTTATAAGAGTATAGTGATCACTAAGCTATACCACAAGTAGAATTTTTGGAGACTGTGAAGACTAAACTGGCCAGAATGAGATACAGAAAGCTCTTGTAGGTTTATCTCGAGGATAGCTATAGTATCTGCTTCACAAAGAAATGCAAGCCAGTAATTAGTTGGTGCAAATCCAGAATAAATGCACAGAAGTTCTAAGGTGAGATGCGAAATCTACACAGGACAAGCTGTAATTGTAGTAGTCTCTTGATTAGAATGAAATGGTATATATGGTGAAGATCAGAAGGTTTAAATAGATAGTCCTAGTTTGGGCTGCAAGTACAGGCATCTAGTATAGATGGCACCAAAAGTGTAGTGGCTAGTTGTATCTTCGTTGTAACCAGTATTATTGATTTCTAATAAAAAGTCTTCCTTGGCCAAAAAGGTTACCTTAATACCAAAAAATAATAATAATAATAATAATAATTTATATATAAAATCAATTCTGTATATAATTGACTAATAATACAAATTCAGGATTCTGTGATTGTATTTTAACAATTTTAGGCCAAAAGTTATTCAAAATTAAAATATTAACGATTTTGAGCTTATTAGAATCCCCTCATTAAGACAAATATTTTGGTAGTTAAAATATTTAAAACAAACTAGTAGTTCAAAAGTTATTAGCCAATTTGTAAATTAGCTTATATAGTTATATATAGTGCTTGGTAAAATCAAATAAAAACTTGATTTTCAAGTTTTTGAAAAAGTTAAATATCTATCAGTTACACAAATAAGGTTTTAAATTATTGTATTTATTTTTAAAGTTTTAGATTAGTTCTAAAAA